AGGTTAAAAAAAGATAAATTTTACATTAATTTCGTAAATGTTTTGAGCCAAAGTCAACTTATATTTTTATTTTTATTGGTAATTATGTTTTTTGACTATGTTATAGAAAATTTAATACTTGTTATTGACATATTTATTTTTAATGTAATGGATTTTGTGACTGTCAGTTACTTTAAATCGATTTTCCCGAAAAGTTATTTTTGAAGTTTGTGAACATTAGAACTCAAAATCTACTGAACCGAACCCGTGAAAATCAAATTATCATTACTTCTTCAAATAAATCAAAATATAATCAGATGGAGTTTTTTCCCCATTTTTTATTGACAAATGAACTGTAATTTTTTGAGCTAAAAACGCGCTTTTTACTTCCAAGTGCTGCAAAAAATAGAAAAAAAGCTCTTTTTCATTACCTCGGAAAATACATCACCTTTGCAACGCATACCAATTTTTTGTTTCAGATGAACCGGTAAAGAGTTATAATGTTCCACTTTTTTCAAGGCGCTTCTGGAGATACATCGTCATGGACTTATTTATTAATATTTTTCATTGAAATTTGTTTCTGGCATACAGTAGCGGACAGTGAAATCCGAACAACCCCTCATTTTGTATTTAAAACACGATTGTAACCGACAAGTGTAATTTTCTGCAAAAAGGTTTATTCTTTCACATAAATTAGTGTTCTGTTCACGTTTTATAACAACTTTCAATAGTTTCAAAGTTTATTTCGTGCTCGTACTTCGTTAAAGCTTTAATGTGCCAAATTAATAAAAAAAAAATCCGACTTGCAAAAAAGTTATATTTTATTTTGCGAAAAGAAAATCTGACCATTCGGGAAATTAGTGATACAGTTGGCTTCAGCAATCTTTCATGCGAGAATTTTTAAAAAATTTCGATAAAACTTGGTCTCTTAATAAAAAAAAGCTGGCTCTGGAGCATAGAAGAAGACAAGTTCTAGGGAAGATCGGGTTATAGAACGTATAAGCTTGAGGGATCGTTTCAAAACTGTTCAGGACATTAAAGTGGATTTATTTGCAGATGTCGGTAGGGAAGTTAGCGCAAGAACTGTTCAAAACCGTTTGCGATCGGCAAAAAAATATCAAAACTGGACTCAACTTGATTGGCGAAATGAAATCTTCTCAAATGAGTTCAAATTTAACATTTTCTGCAGCGACGGTATGTCCTACGTGAGAAGGAGAACTGGTGAGCAGTTCAAGGACGAATGTGTTCAAAAACTGTAAAGCAGGATATTTGAAAGAAATTTAATACCTTCAAGGGAAGACCACTTTTCACGAGCGGATGTTTATTTTTCAGGATGACTATGCGGCGAGCCTGTCATCGTGCCAAAATAGAAAGTATCCATTTTTTTGTACAACTAGAGTTTATTGCTATAATTTTAATTACAAATTTTATACTTATCCTTTTTTCTTTCTTTAAGGTGAAAAATTATTTGTCACTTTGGAGTGGCCAGGTAACAGTAGGTTCAGGTACAATAGAAGAGACCAAAGAATTTAGTAGAGTTGGATGGAATTCTCGAAGAAGGGTGTTATAACGGTATTAGAGCAGTAGCAATAAAAAACCTCATAAATCCCGAGCGTATAAAAGCCGTTGTAAAAAGCAAAGGAGGTTTGACAAATTACTAAGAAGTGTTTTTGCATAGAGTAATATTTCCTTTAACTAAAACTATAAAATCATTTCTCTAATGTAAAGAAAAAAAAGTATCATTGTTTATATTGCTAGTTAACAAAATGATACAATATCTAAAATGAATTAAAACAAAATTTTATAAGTGCAATCCACTGCACTGACTTTTTTTTACACTTAATACTAATGTATTTAATATATATTATTGTTCTAAAATAAAAAATTTAAACATTCCACTAAAATAATAAGGAAAAACTATGATTTTTTAGTTGTCCAGACTTCACTTCCGCTCCTATAGGTGATAGTGTAATATATGATATTACATTATTATAAATTAAATATGTATGTATGTAAGTATATGGAAAAGTATTCACATATTCTATTTTAGCGGCACAATTCCGATTTCTTTTTACCTAAAAAATCAGCATTTTAAAAATTACATTTCACACTCGTTTTAACCCCATTTGTTTACCAAAAGTTACGACGAAATGGAGCGCTGCCATGTGATGATAAGGCAATTCGCTAAAATTCCTCTATTCATGCATATGGATATTTTCTTTTTTAAATTTATTAAGCAAATAAGTAATATTATATAATAATATTAGGTAATAAAGTGTAAAGTATATTAGTACAGTACGAAAATTCAAATTTTATTTCAATATGAGTGCATGGTAACCACCATATATAACCATGCACTTTAACTTTTAACTTTAACCACTTTATAACGAAAACTCAGTATATATTTTTTTTTAACGCAGAAAGGAGTACTACCCGAAATTATTTCAGTCCACCCGGGTATTCGCTCGGCCAGCGTTATTTTATTAAAGAGCGGCCAAAGGCCGCCAACGCAGAACGGTGTACTACGCGAAAGTACTTCAGTCACCCCGGGTATTCGCTCGACCAGGGTTGATTTTTTAAAGTACTTCAGTACTCGACAAGATATTATATAAATTTTATAATACTATATTATCGTAGAGTTTTATTTATATGTGTTTATTAAATATAAATCACATATTATACATATACATACAATATGTAAAATGTATAATATGTGGAAAAAGTTTTCACAACTCAATTATAACTTAAAAAATGTTATTAAAAAAAGTATTTTTTATTATAATTAATGTAGAAAAAAGAATCACGCAAAAAAACAAAGAAAAATCGTTAAGAATCCTACATATTTGGTGTTTAAGATGTGGCAACGCTCGCTTTCCTGATAATTGTAAACAATCTAATCTTTGCAACGACGAATGTGCTAAGTGATTTTTAAATTAATAAATTTAGGTAAAATAATACAAAGTAAAATTGAAATGTGAACTTATTTAAATGTTTAGAGTGTATATTTAAATATACAGAGTGAAAAACGTGAATAAATTTAATGGAAGATAGAGAAATACCTTGTATTAGTGCAAATTTTTGAACTTTTAATCGTGAAAATTTTAAAAAATATAAGTAATTTTTATATTATTTTTGGATATTCCTCCTCTGGAGAAGCTCCCCTCCGCCAAAGTAATCGGAATCGTGCCATTTTAGCTTTAAAAATCTTCTTTATAGTTAATAAAGAAAAAAGAATCACTCGAAAGTACAAACAAAGAAACCGCTGAAAAATCCTTCACTTTTGGTTTTTAATGTGTGGCAAAGATGGTTTTCCTCGTAAATATAAACACTCTTAAACTTTTCAACCATAAATTTGATAAGTAATTTTGAAATTACTAAATTTAGCTGAAAAACAAGTAAGGAAGGGCTAAGTTCGGGTGTCACCGAACATTTTATACTCTCGCATGATAAAGTGATAATCGAGATTTCAGGCGTGGTTGTGAACC